ACAGACACATGCATTCCCATGAGAGTCAGAACACTGCTTAGGATTTAGCTAAATCTGCTGAGGTGTTCCCATAATAGTGTTGGAAAATGGAAATGCCTCTAATATAAAATGCTGGGTCAGGCATTGACGAGTATGCAAATCTATGTATTGGAAGTATATAAGTTTGACCCAGATAAAACTGCAAATTTCTCAGCTGCACTGTACTGCCACTATCAAGTACAGCTTTTAGAGCAGCAAAGAAGAAGAGATTTCTGTGAGGATGGCGCTAGCAAGAGCTAGCTAACATAACAGCAATTTGGCTATATTTCATGTTGGAAAACTGCAAAGTGTATTGTATATAAGATTTCAGCATCGGCAAGCAACACTTCATTGCTAATTACAACACAAGCCATACAACAATGATAGCAGTAATCACTTCCATACAGGGTTAGTTGCCTACAGCTATTAAAATACATTATACTGTTTAGTTTTAAAAATGCACTGGTATCAGATCCGTACGCAGAGTCCAGGTATCTGAATCAGTTTCAGGAAGGGGAAAGCGGTATCCGAACATTTCTATAAATTTGAGCATGAAACAACTTTTGCTCCATTTTGTGCTGATGCTAGCTCAACTAATTAAGCATTGCAAGGGAGCAAACATATTATTCAAACCAGTGGCCGTAAGCTTAGTTGAATGATAAAAGCAGCACCTACCTCACCCATGCAGTACTCCAACTGTACCACAGAGGGGATACTTCTGAGGAAATCCTCCAGTTCAGAGTAGCCCAGCTTCTTCAACGGGATGTTGTGTCCACACAGTGACCGGTACTCTGACTGGAGCCTGTTGATAGAAACACCACCTTTGCTGGACTGAAGAACAGACCGCAACATTTTGTGGATCGCGTCACTGTCCGACATCCTGGCAGATACACACTGAAAAAGAAACAAATATTAAAATCATCAGAAGTGCATAAGAGACACCTGAGGCAACGTGAACCATAATTGTGTTTGCAAAACGTTATACTGTTTTGACATTGGGTTCTGTTGTATTTCAGTCAGACCTCCAATCTGTGGATTTTCATTTTATCAATTATTTATTTAGAGATGATAAAAATAAAGATTGTAGATCACCAAGCACATTGTATGCTTCCTTTAGAGAAGAGGAAATAATCACAACGAACGGAAGCAAAGAAAAAATGTGTACACACAATTTCTAGTAAAGCCTTATTTCAGAATTGTAACTACAATCATCACACTTTGGAAATACACAGGACTTTTGTTCAAGTACTTCCAAAAAGCAAGGACTACTTTGTGTATCCACATATCTACATATACATCTATTAAAACTACATACACACACATATATATATTTAAATATATTTAATAATATATCAACTCAATTCATTAAGGCTGTTCTGTAAATTTAGAAGATACCAAACACAATAAGAGCACCAGTGAAGGGTTTCCACTCCAGAGCTGATTTACAGTCTGGAAAGGTCAACTCATAAAACTTACAGCTGAACATAGATTACTACATTTAAAAACATGAGAGAATCATGCAAACAACAGACTTACTAACTTAATAGTTTCGCCTGCCTATCATGTGAAAGTTCGATTTCAAGTTATCGGAAGAACACGCGTAGAAAATAGTCCTGACGACCAAGATTATACAACAATAAACTCATTCATTTGTAACAGGAGACGGTCGGCTAGCTTTAAAAACACTTACCTGAGGTGCAGGTGTAGTTTCTGTGTTGAGTTGAACTCAAACCTCAGCCGCTCCACTGAGGGAACCTGCAGACACGTGACGTCTCACCGCTGTCTCGTCTCCTGGGTGTTTTCCAGGTGGAGGAACAATGCTAACAAGGAGCTAATGGCTAACCGTAGCCCGCGGTGCTTGTAGCTAGCGGTCTGTAGCTAACGGTAAAATGACGTTTGTTCGTGTCCTCTCACAGTTGAACGTGTAGAAAGAGGTCAACAATGATCCGCGGTGACAAGCGACATTAGCTGGAAGTGTTCTGTTCAGACACATGAAGGTGTTTCAATGTGTCATTTACCTGCGACTTCGACTCGTTCTCCAAAGTTAATCTTCTTCCTTCACAACCACGAGCTCGTTCACGCCCACAAGTTCACAAGGTCACTACCGGTTACTGTGATTGGTTCATCATTTACATTTAGATCAGTTGTATCAACACGTGTTCCTCAAATCTACGCAATAAACATTTACGGAGAGAARATCGTCACGTTTATACAGTCTATGGTTTTAGGCAACGAGTTACGTGAATACACATCGTTTATCTATGTTGATTGGCAGTAGCTGCTTTTAAGAACCGTAGGAAATGTGCAACATCTAATTTAACTGCACAAAACCTGAAATACAGGCAATGTGAATTGTGCATTGAAATGT